GACCATCCCCCCTGTGAATCCTGATGATGGCACTGCAAGCGATGTGTACAAATGTGCAGTGAATGCCTTCAGCACGCACTTCAAACCTCAAAGGAGTGTGGACCATCTAGTCTATTCGTTTCGTAAGGAAAAGCAGCTGAGTACTGAGACTGTTGGTGAATTTTATACCAGGCTTGTCATCCAATCAAAACGTTGTGACTTTGCTGATGCTAACCTAGAAATCAAGCGCCAGTTGATACAAGGTACGCACAACAATCGCCTCCGCAGGAAAGCAATCGAGCAGACACTGACCTTGGACAATCTGCTTAAAACTGCCCGATCAATGGAAATGGCAGACGAGCACACCGTCATCATGGAAAGACAGTGTTCCACCCAGCAATTGCATGCATTGAACAGTAGGACAAAAGGCAAACAACCGCAATCACTCCATAATCCGAGCAGTCAGAATCGTTATAAAACCGCTTGTGGTTTGTGTGGTGGACCATACCCACACAGAGGAGACTGTCCTGCGAAAGGGAAGGAATGTAGAAAATGCGGTCGTGTAAATCACTTCGGTAAAGTGTGCCGCAGCGCTCAAAACCCGGGCGCACGATCATCGAGATTCGAACCGAATCGGGATCATCAACCCTGGAAAGGAAGGCATCGTTTCAACCGAAAGCATATTGCCAGAACCTTAAAGGACATCACCGAGCACGATCACCGACTACGTCAACGCTACCGACGATGACGAGTACATCTTTCGATTAGGCAGATCGGGATCCGGATCGAGCTTTACGGAAAAACCCGTGTTCAACGTCATGATTGGCAACACCAAGACCATGGTTATGGCCGATTCAGGAGCGACTGTAAACATTCTCAATTAGGAGGATTACCTTCATCTCCACCATCGGCCGCAACTCGCACCATCGAAATTTCAAATATTTTCGTACATGTCCAACAAACCGCTCGTGCTTCAAGGAAAATTCGAGGCTGAGGTACGCAGTGACCATTGTACATCTAAGGAGACATTCTACGTTGTCTCTGGACCTAGTGGATCGCTTCTAAGTTGGAAAGCCTTGCAAAAGCTACGTCTGATCAAAGTCGCGAATGTGATTTCTGAGCAACCGAATGCGCCTGAGTTTCTGTGTGACTTTTCTAACATCACGAGTGGAATGGTGCCTATGAGGGTGAACCGGTTAAAGTCGATGTAGACCCCAGCGTCGTTCCAGTAGCCCAACCACACCGTCGCATTCCATTTCATGTCCGTCAACGCGTCGATGGAAAACATTTTTCACCTTGGATTTCACCGATAGTGGTTGTTCCAAAACTAAAGAAACCTGACGAAATGAGGATATGTGTAGACATGCGTTCAGTGAATCGCGCGATTATCCGTGAACGTCACATCATACCGACCATCGACGATATCGCTGCAGACTTAAATGGCTGCAAAGTGTTCAGCAAGTTAGATCTGAAGCAGGGTTACCATCAGGTTCTTTTACACCCTGACTCCCGAAACCTGACCACGTTCTCAACACATGTAGGATTGTGGCGTTACAAGCGTCTCAACTTCGGGATGTCATGCTCCGCCGAGATATTTCAAAACATCGTTAGTGACGTGACCAAGGGAATTCCGGGTGTTAGTAACATTAGTGCCGACATCTACATGGGAGGTGTTGACACCGAGCAACACGATGCGCGTCTGAAACGTGTGCTACAACGTCTGACCGAGTCGAATCTGACAATTAATGTTCCCAAATGTGAATTCCGCGTTCCGACAATGTTGTTCTTTGGACATCAATTCAGCGCTAAAGGAATCTCACCGGACCCAAAGAAGGTCGCAGACTTGAAAGCAATCACGCCACCGGCTAGTGTAACTGAAGTCAAGAGTCTGTTGAGTTCCGCGTCATTCTGCTCGCGGTTCATCAAAGACTTTGCGATCATAACGAAACCGCTGCGTCGTCTGACATGCAAGGATGTTCCCTGGACCTGGGGAAAGGAAGAACAATCTGCGCTAGAAAAGCTACAAGCTGCATTGTCCGAAAAGACCACGCTAAGCTACTTTGACCCAGAGAAGCCCACTACGTTGTTTGTGGACGGTTGTCTTAACCCAGACGGATCAGAAAACCGATGAGACAAATTCGCTGCATTACGCCAGTCATCTGCTATCGGAGACAGAATCGCGTTATCGATTATTCGAATCGCGAGAGGCACTATCGATATACTGGTCGATCAAGAGGTTTCACCTATACCTCTATGGAAAGGAGTTTAAGATCGTCACTGACCATCAACCGTTGGTCTCCTTGTTCAACAACCCGGTGTCAAAACCGTCAGCCAGGATCGAACGTTGGTTGATGGACCTACAGCACTATCGCTTTACTGTAGAATACCGACCAGGACCGAACAATCCAGCAGACTATGCATCGCGTCATCCCATATCTGCCCCAAGTGTATTGGACATTGATGACGAGCAAACTGCTGACAAGTATGTTGCCTATGTCGCGCAGAACGCTGTCCCGAAGGCAATGACTTTGTCCGAGATCGAGCTAGCAACCATGCAAGACCCGCTGCTTCAGGCCACAATGGTAGCCATGAAGTCTGGTAATTGGCACAAACCTCTGCCAAATGTGTCATTATCTTAACTCTTAAGACTTTAAAACGTTAAAGGTGAGCTAACGTGTACCGATACCCTTGTCTTGAAATCGAACCGCATCGTAGTACCGACTAGCCTTCAGGAAAGAACTGTGAACATCGCACATGAAGGACACCTCGGTATTGCTAAAACCAAGGGCCTATTGCGAGAGAAAGTGTGGTTTCCGCTTATGGACAGACTGGTTGAGCAGAAAGTCAGATCTTGTTTACCATGCCAAATCGCGACACCCATGGTAACACGTGAACCGCTACAAATGTCACCGCTACCAGAAGGCCCATTCGAGAAGATAAGTGTAGACTTTGCCTATGCTGAAGGAGAAAATGTACTTCTTCTCGTTGATGAATACTCACGATTCCCATTTATCGAGCCAATCCGCTCCACTGCTGCTCAGTGTGTGATTCCGAAGCTCGACCGAATCTTCTCCACGTTTGGTACACCAGAAACAGTCAAATCCGATAATGGTCCACCGTTTGATGGCCACGAGTTTGCGAAATTCTCTGAGACCGTCGGATTTAAAACATAAGGGCGTAGATATCAGACTGTTTTTGTAAATTTTTCTAACATTTGTTTAGCAATATTGTATCAATTCATATGTGTATTATTAAAGAAACCTCGATGGTAGAAGACATTTGTGATTAATATAATGTGAGAAAGGGGGAACGTTACACTATCGAAATGACAAAACATAGTTTTGAAAACTAGTTTCTGAGAAATGCTTTATTATACATTGATTATGGGAACAATATATAGAAGATGTTTACGTCACCAATTATAATGGCGTGTATGCCAAGTATAACGCACGTAGCATCGTATAGGCACGTAATTGTATAAGCTATTACGGGTTTGTGTACAGTCAGATACGTGTGCAAAACCCTGAAGCCAAATGTTGTAGCCACACAATACAATAACCAGAGAATTACTACAATGCATCCATTCCTTAATAATTACAAAGCATAATGACAATCGACAGTCAACACTACATAGCTATCATACACAAGCAAACACCAGGTACAAGTAATGCATATCTTACAACAATGCAGTGCCCGGGAGCAGCTAGGTAGCAGCAGAAGTGACACAAGTGACTCGCGCGTTGACAGGAGTGACGTAAGATGTGCTGTCGTCTGCGGCATATTCCTATGGATGGATGATCGCTCGTAAAGTGTGGGAATCTGTGGTTGTCCTCCAATGTTGGCATTAGTATCAACAGCGAACGTATTTATTTCATGTTTATATACTCATTTCACATTTCATATTTCATACTCATATAAATATATATATAGTTTATAATACAACCTCATTGACAATATATGTATAACTTTTGAATCTCCACCGTCATACTAACAACAATCGCGTTATAATAATGTCAGAAGTTGAATTGCGTAGAATCTGGTTAATAATACTAACTACTACAACTCGCGTACAATGTGATTAATTAATATAAGGGAATGCTTGGGCGAAATGTAATGCTACGTCACAATGAAAATAACTAATAGGTAATTGAAGAGAAAACATTCGTGCACATTGTTAGAAGCAAAGGGGATAGGAAATAAGAAGGCCGTTTTCTTCTCTTTTTTTTGTTTCTTCACAACATTATCGTTAACGATATTGCATCCTGGATGGAGATACTCAAACACCTCGAGCTATTCATAATAATCGTCCCATGAGTCACATTTTGTGTCATCATCTGCAAACGCAAATATGACGGGAGGTGGCGAAGGTGGCAGGCCGCCTCCGGGAACGTATCCGATGGCTGGCCGCAGTTCCTTGCAGTTGGGCCAACTCCCAAACAGGGTTTCAAAGAGCTTCATTGGTCTTCTAACCCTAGCAAGACCGTTTCTTGGACCTATGACACTGTACGAGTCATTGAAGAATATTGAGGCATATTCTTGATGTAGATTGCTCTTTCTGTACAAACTGAATAATAACCTGTATATGAATATATTGCAAACATTCAGGGTTTATTTTTTTCTGTATTACATGAGCCATTATTAATTAAGGGGTTAATTATTATATTTACTGTCGTTTAACTTTATGTAAACTGCATTTTACGGTCCCAGTACACTTACTAACCTTAGCTATCAGTATCACTATCAGTCTATCGATCAGTATACAGTAGCTCTAGTACTAGAGCCCGCGTACAGTTGCAGCTGGCAGCTGCCAGCGGCAACTGTACGCAGGCTATAGTACTAGAGCTAAGTATACAGCAACTGCCGTACACTACAACTACAAGTACAACTTCCAGTCACTATGATAGTAGTGTAAACTAGAGCACTCGGAGAGCGCAGACCTCCGCCAAAGCAGCTGAATTCTCTCAATATGAAATTTTTTATTAATTCATTAATTAAGTGAAAAAATTAATTAATTACCCGATTTAAGTTACCCGATTTCTGACCTATCCTGAAAATTTTATTAATTAATTAATTAATTAATTGGATCCGGATCACTACCAAAATAAATTAATTAATTAATTAATTGGATCCGGATCACCACCAAAATGTAATCAATTCTAAGTTACCCCATTTCTGACCTATCCTGAAAATTTTATTAATTAATTAATTAATTGGATCCGGATCACCACCAAAATGTAATCAATTCTAAGTTACCCCATTTCTGACCTATCCTGCACATTTAATTAATTAATTTGATCCGGATCACCGCCAAAATCTATTCAATCCTAAGTTAGCCCATTTCTGACGTATCCTGAAAATCTTATGACAATCCGTCCAGTTAGGCTGTACACAAACCCACAAACACACAAACACACAAACACACAAACACACGCCGATGAAAACATAACCTCCGCCAAGCCCCTGGCGGAGGTAATAATCCGACAAGACTGTATCAGTGTATGACTGCAAGATCATAGATTTGACATAACACGGCTACCGACCACCGCCCGGTATGTAAACAAATTTGTAAAGCTCCATCTACGCTTGTTTGATACTTACTTATAGTCGTTAGTCTGCCCATAACAAAATTCGACTTTCCTTTTAATTGGATTACCTCCCGATGAAACAAATTTCAGTTGAGGCTCGTGATTATTTAACGAATCAAACTACAAACAATAAGAAACTTTCCTGTGGTTATAACATAGACGCCATGCTTTTAATCCAACGACAGCTTACGGCTAATACGTGGCGCTAGCATCTCTAATCCAAAAGTGACCGTGCTCAGTGATTTATATGCTCTGCGACAAGTAAGCGGAATGTCAACAACACACAAGCATACACTCACGTCGGTAACCGGACACTTGCCCATAACCAATGGTCGACACCGCACTAAGTTCCCATTTTTGATAATTGAGAATTTAAACAAGCCAGCGATCTTGGGATACGACTTTATGCAAGCAGAAAGTGTAAAAATTGATTGCGGGAAAGGCGTACTATCCATAGGCAAATCAGTTGTCACCCTCAAGACCAAGTTAGATGGAGAACTCAGTAATCAGCAGGTGGAGCTAGTGCTCCTTAAATCTAGGTTTCAGGTACCACGAAGAACAGCAATTATCTGCGAAGGGCGGCTAAGGAAATCAGTCCCCGTGGATGCAACTGCGTTGGTAACAAACACAGACGCGTTACCTGCATTTCGGGATCAGCCAGGAATCTGCATTGTAGACACGATCGACACTGTTAGTCAAGATTATTGCATTAGGTTTTCGTTAGAAAATGCCACAGAAGTCGCATATTTATTTAATAGTAATAGTGTTATAACTTTAGTACAGGCAGTTGACTGTAGACAGATTGCGCATAGCTTTGCACACTGGAGTGTTTCTCAATCGGATATGGTGTAGAGGAAGGATAGCGGTGAAACAGGAACAAGGGAAGCAACAGCAGTTAAACTACCTAACATAAATATTGACCATATCTCGGGACCAGCACGACTAGCGTTGGAGCAGCTTTTAAGAAAGAATAGTGATTTATTTGCTGAAAGTAATATGGATCTAGGACATACCAACCTAGTGAAGATGACAATTAATACGGGAGATCACGCCCATATAAGACAAAAGCCAAACTCCAATCAACTACCGCCCCATAATCGATCATCACGTAAATCAGCTCCTGCCAAGCCAAGATAATAGAACCAAGCAACAGCCCGTGTAGTCCATGAGCCAGACCAGATATTGGTACCACATGGGGTGGCAAATCCTCACTATGTTTTTTCCAAAGTGCTATATCCATAAATGAAAAAAACCCATGAAGCAAGCCGAGACTCACAGCTTAATGGTAGAAATTGCCACTTGTATATGTGCACTCGTGGTGGAGCGGCAGGCGCCAATTATGGAGTAGGGGAAATATAAAATTGAATAATTTTGCAACGAATGGACATACAGTGACAAATGACCCCTCAAAATGTTGGTATTTTTCTCCCCTACACTTTAATATCCATCATATGCAAATCTGTTGTGTGTGTAGGTCAGCAGAGGTCAAAAGGTCATGAAATTTGACCCTTGCTTAAAATCGGACCCCCTGTCAGAAAATGCCCTACAGAATCGTTACTAATGGTTATTTGTTGGTCTGAGTGTGTCTATTCTGAAGCAAAGAGATGTAGAAGTTGATTTATAGTAAAAAAAAGTTTGCTTTATTTTTATTTACGTTATGGTATGCAACGAGTTTTGACATATTCTTAAAAATGCCTTATTTTGGCACTAAAATAGGCCAAAATCTAAAAGTGGAATTGCTTGGAATTAGTTGGTGAAATTTGAAAGCTAAACCTTCCAAATGGTAATAGACATATTCCTGATACAATTTATACCCTTTTTAATTGAATTTCAAATTAATTAGGTCACCAAAGGTCTATTGCATGCATTTCTTATCATGTCCTATTTTAGCGCAAAAGCAGGCAAAATTGTTACGTACACTACATATTCGGAACTCTTTTTACTGAATCAACTACAGATACTAACATTATAAAATCAGTCACCTTCCGTGTTGGTGTTCTTGCCCAGTTTTGTATTGAATGGGGCCCGTGTTATAGTTCAACCATGGTATGATTTTATACCCAGTACCCTATAAAAATTCACTCTGCCTTGGGCTACCTTGTATCACCATGTCAAATTGTCTCAACTTAGGTCATACATCATGTCAATGAATGAAGTAAAAGAACTTCAGAAGTAAAAGGGCTAAGTAGGTTTTGATTACAGTGTACTAGGTCTATGTTAGCATTACATACAAAGACAATTACATTTACATTACAATTTACATAGACAAGGTTGTGCCATGGCAAGCTGCTATACCATGACTATGTTCGACAGCGTGTTGGTTAGCTTATTCATCATCTGAACCATCATCATACTCATCGTCATCAATTGCCTCGAATTCTACTTCATTGTCGTCTTCAGCTTGCTTATTTTGACATGTCTGTAAACTGCAGAGATATGTGCACTTCATGTTGTTCTGGACACAAGTGCAACTCTCGTCACTACATTCCTTGCGACAGTTGCATGCAATCAGTTCCATCACAGTCTCCGGAGCAGGTGGGTCATCCCCCCAATCAATGACCAATTGATTCATTGCAGAAGGGTCTGTT